GGGTGTACACTGTCATATGTCCTATCCTATGTGTAGTATGTATGTACCATGTAGGTAGTATGGGTGTACACTGTCATATGTCCTATCCTATGTGTAGTATGTATGTACAATGTAGGTAGTATGGGTGTACACTGTCATATGTCCTATCCTATGTGTAGTATGTATGTACCATGTAGGTAGTATGGGTGTACACTGTCATATGTCCTATCCTACTTTACTTCAAACCTCACCCCGGAAAGCACAGTTACTTTTGCGTTATTGTTGCCAGTTTGATCATTCACGTTGAGTATGTATGTACGCACTTTAGTTTTTATAGCATGTGTAGATCTAGATTCTTGTCATTTATTTTGCGAATGTTCCTGAGGAAGCCCGTTGAGGGCGAAACGTTGAATTTGTGATTTTAAAAAAAAATTGAAAATACTACCAGGTCTTAACTGTTTTAATATTTGCTTTATACAATGATGATGATGATGATGATGATGATGATGATGATGATGATGATGATGATGATGATGATGATGATGATGATGATGACACCACATTTTTTTTCCGCACGCACAATATTGCGCATCACGGTTTAAATGAACGTATACTTTGTTCCCATTACAGTGTTATTACTGATTTTTGTTGTATTTTTTAAAAATCACGTTCCTGAAAAAGCTCATAAGGACGAATCGCTGAATATATTTAATATGTATAATGTCATTGTCATAAAACTTCAAATACTCAAGTCAAACAAAAAAGTGTCCTATCCTGCTTCGGTACGATTCGACGCTTGAGTGAGCGTAACAACAGCAACAACAACAACAACAACAACAACAACAACAACAACAACAGCAACAACAACAACAACAGCAGCAACAACAGAACCCCCCCCCCCCCAACAAAAAGCCCCAGACCCTAACCTTTAATGACTCGATCTCATGGAAACAGGACGCTACATTTCGTATAGGGGATAGACAAGTGGGTGGGGGCTTTTGAAAACCGATCTTTAGACAAAGGGAAAATGAGACAGGCATCCACAAAGACAGATTTAATACTAACAGTAATACAGATAATATTTGTGAGGCAACGTGGTGGAATCAGGCTCTCGTCAATATTTGGGCATGTAGAGTTATTGGTATCATCTTAAAGCTTGTTCACTTGTCTTAATTTGGATTAAAAAAATATCCATTTATATTGAATACAAGTCGAGATGTTTGCAATTGAAGGAGGTGGGGGTCACCAGTTTTCAGACGTAAAATTAATGAGAAAATGGCCGCCAAAGATTAGTTATTTCCTTAGCTTAAGAGTCCGAGGTAACTGAATATGTACATTTATTTGTGCCTTTAATCAACGCTTTTCAGAAAAATCCTCATAGAAATGAGTTCTTTAATGCTCATGAAAGGTGTTGAGCCAAAAAACAACAATTTAAAAAAAAATTCACAAACCTGCGGAAAAATGCAAGTTTGTTCACTTTGATTATTTTGACGAGAGCCTGATTTAACCACGCTGCCTCACATTTCTGTAGCGCTCTACCCCGATTAAAAGATCAAAGGCTTTAGGCGCATTACAAATACAGGTAGCAGGACCAAGACAAAAATATCTACGAGCGTACATAAAATATCATTATGATATCGGGTTAATCTAACAACAGAAATGACTTGAGCAGACTGTCCATTGAGTTAAACAATTTGCTCTCTTTAAAAAAAAAAACGTTTTATTTCTTTTTATGGCACTTGCAACACCATAAGGTCATATAAGTGCCGGAGATGAGAGGCTCTTAAAAACCAATAGGTGTTACAGGAGAGTAACATG